AAAAATCTTAAGATCTATGACTCCTAGATTTAAACACATTGTTGCAGCTATTGGGGAATATAAAGATTTTTCTTCACTAACTATTGAAGAGCTAATAGGATCAGTTCAATCCCATGAACAACGGACGAATAAGAATGCTAATGATTCTTTGGAACAAGCATTGCAGAGCAAATTGATAGTAAAATATGATAGGTATGAGCAAGAGGAAGAGGTATTGGAAATAGAGGACCAAGTTTTGCAAATAGAGGAAGAGGAGGACGAAACTTTCAAAATGGAAGCGAAAGAGAATCAAGTTCATCAAGAGGAAGAGGTAGGGGAAATTTCACACGTCGCTACAATAAGCAAAGGTATGGAAGATCTAATATCCAATGTTTCAATTGTAAGAAATTTGGACAATATAATTCTGAATGCAGATATAAAACTGAACATGAAAATAGAGATCAAGCAAATGTTATTGAAAGAAATGATGAAAATGTGCCAACTTTGCTATTAGTTACAAAAAGGATGAAATAAGCAATAATACCTAGTATTTGGACATAGGAGCAAGTAATCACATGTGTGGAAGAAGAGAAATGTTTATAGATCTAATTGAGTCCATAAAAGGAGATGTTTTCTTTGGAGATTTCTCAAAAACCCAAGTAAAAGGAAAAGGAAAAATTTCGATACACCTAAAAAATGGGGATCACTAATATATTTATGATTTTTATTATGTTCCTGCATTAAAAAACAATACATTAAGCTTGGGTAGACTTTTGGAAAAAGATTGTGATATCCAATTAAAAGACCTTGCTCTCACAATAAAAGATAAAAATAATACATTGATTGCAAGGGTAGAAATGTCTAGGAATAGATTATTCACTTTGAATATTAAAGTTGATTCAATGAAGTGTGGTTATGGCATTTACGCTTTGGACATCTTAATTTTAATGGCTTGAAATTGTTATCAAAAGCTCATATGGTGAAAGGATTACCCATAATAGAGCAGCCAAATAAAATTTGTGAAGGATGCACATTGGGAAAGCAACACATGAGCAATTTCCCAATGGGACAGTCATGGAGAGCAACTAAGCCATTGCAACTTGTGCATTCTGATGTGGCTGGACCATTTGAAATATTGTCAAATGGAAGTAACAGATATTTTCTAACTTTTACTGATGAGTTTAGCAGAAAAACATCGGTTCATTTCTTGAAAGAAAAATCATAAGTATTGGGATTTTCAAACAATTTAAGGCATATGCTGAAAGGCAAAGTGGATATCCCCTAAACGTTTTGAGAAGTCATAGAGGAGGAGAACACACCTCAAATAATTTTCAAGAATTTTGCAGGGAGAATGGAATTAAACACCAATTAACAGCAATATATAGCCCTCAGCAAAATGGTATGTCTGAGAGAAAGAATGGAACAATTCTTGAAATGGCAAGAAACATGCTGAAAGAAAATAAATGCCCAAGAGTTTTTGGGCTGAAGCAGTAGTTTGTGCAGTCTATCTCTTAAATAGATGCCCAACTAGAAGAGGCATGGAGTGGCTACAAACCTGGGGTTGCCCACTTGAGAGTATTTGGTTGTATTGTATATGCACACATCCTAGAACAAAAGAGAACAAAACTGGACGACATAGGTGAGAAATGCATTTTCATGGGATATGATTCACAAACAAAAGGTTGCAAATTGTATAACACTGTAAACAAAAAAGTATTTGTTTCTCGTGATGTGGAGTTTGATGAAGAAGGAGTGGGAAATGGAGAAAGAAAATAAAAATATGAAATTTCTAGAAGAAGAAGAAACATCTCAAGTTGTAACTCCTTCTAATAGCCCCACCAATACAAGAAATGATTCTCCAAGCTCAAGCTCAAGTGAAGGACCAATAAGAACAAGAAATCTCTGATAAATTTATGAAGTAACATCTGAACACCATAATGAAGAAGAAAATCCCACTTTTTTCTATCTTCTTGCAGATTGTGATCCTCTAGATTTTTCGGAAGCGGTTCAAGACAAAAAGTGGAAGGAGACAATGGATGAAGAGATTAAAGCTATTCCAAAAAATGACACATGGGAACTTATAGAGCTATTTGAATGTAAGAAATCAATTGGAGTTAAATGGGTGTATAAAACAAAACTTAATTCAACAGGGGAAATTGAAAGGTATAAAGCACGACTTGTTGCAAAAGAATACAAACAACGCCCAGAACTTGATTACCACGAGGTATTTGCTCCTGTTGCTAGAATTGAAACCATTAGACTAATAATTTCATCAGCTGCACAAAATTCATGGATTATTCATCAAATGGATGTGAAATCAGCTTTTCTAAATGGATATCTTAATGAAGAGGTATACATAGGCTAACCTCCTAATTATATTAAAAAAAGACATGAAAACAATGTCTATAAATTAAGGAAGGCATTATATGGACTTAAGCAAGCTCCTAGGGCATGGAACACTAGACTACATAAATATTTTTAGGAAAACGGTTTTGTTAAATGCCCATATGAGCATGCACTCTATACAAAGTATAATTGTAATGGTGATATAATGATTATTTGTGTCTATGAGGATGATCTTATTTTTAGTAGAAATTGCGAGGAAATGATTGAAGATTTTAAGGCTAGAATGGCCAATGAATTTGAGATGACAGATGTGGGACTCATGTCCTATTTTCTTGGAATAGAAGTAAAACAAGAAAATGATGGAATTTTCATATCTCAAGAAAAATAAGCAAAATAAATATTGAAAAAATTCAAAATGGAAAATTGTAAGCCAATCAGCACTCCTGTGGAATTTGGTGTGAAGCTACATAAAATGAAAAAGAAGAAGAGAAAAATCCTACTTATTTCCAAAGTCTAGTTGAAAGCTTAAGATATCTAACTTGTACTAAACCAGATATTGTATATGGTGTTGGATTGATTAGCATATATATGGAAGCACCTAAGTTGACTCATCTTCAAGCAGCAAAGAGAATCCTATGATATATCAAAGTTACATTAAATCATGGCTTGCTTTAATCCAGAACAAAAGAAGTTGAACTTGTTGGTTTTATTGACAGTGATTGGGGAGAAGACTTAGATGACAGCAAGAGCACCATTGGATTTGCATTGAACATTGGAACGACGGCATTCTCATGGTCGTCAGAGAAACAGAAAGTGGTGGCACTATCAAGTTGTGAAGCAGAGTACGTGGCAGCTACCTCATGCTTGGGACAAACACTATGGTTAAGAAACCTATTAAAAGAATTAAAACTTATACAAGATGGCCCCATCGAGATCCATATGGACAACATGTCAGCAATAAGTTTAGCAAAGAATCCAATCCGACATGGAAAAAGAAAGCATATTGACAGACGTTATCATTTCATACGAGATCACATAGAGAAGAATAAAATCAAGTTCACATATTGTAACACTGAAGAATAGGTTGCAGATATTTTCACCAAGCCATTATGACCAGATAGATTTAACAAGTTGAAACATTTTATGGGGATGGTATCTATGTAACTTTGTTAAGTTTAAGGGGGAGTGTTGGAAAATTAAACTTAACGAAGAAGAACCTTCTAGATGTGAGTAGAAGGTTTAAGCAAACACGTAGAGTTTTCTAGATGGAGCTTTCTAGATAGAACATGAACAAATAAATAAAGAAGCTTGTAGAAGTTTCTAAAAAGGGCACAAAGTCAACAAAAGTGGCTACCTATTAATGTGGGTAAGTGGTAACTAGAACATTATTGTTGGTATGACAACCTCTATAAAAGGAGAATCGAGCGTCATAGGGGGAACAAGTAAGTGAGCATTGAGTGTAGAGAAAGTCAGAAGCGAGAGAGAGAAAAATATTGAGAAAGAGTGTGTACATAAAGAAAAAGTTTAGAAGTGTAGACAACAGCCTTTCTTCTTTGTTGTAAGTTTTTTGTTGAAATAATTACAAATAGTTTTTGCATTGTTATTTTAAATTTAATTTTTTCATTATTTAAACTCCCATCAAACTTTTGCTTTCCCTTTTTTTCTTTTCGTACAATTTCCATCTCAATTAATCAATTGACTAAATTGAGAATTGTGTTCCCTTCTAATCTCTAAAAGTACATCAATATTTTAAAAATGGCGACTTTAGGAACAATCTCAAGACTTGGACAATAATTTAGAAAGGCATGACACAAAAAAGGTACCATTGACAACTGGAATCAATTTCTTTGCTTTTAGATGCCTCTCAACATTATTTTTTTTTGTTTTTTATTTTTATTTTTTTGCCATTAACATTCCTTATTCGAAGCATGAACTCCAATTTTGATTTTTTGGGTGTTCTACCTATTGTTTCATTTTTGCTTTTTGGCTGGTTGGCCCTCGAAGGGCGTTGGTTGGGTGAGTGCGCCTGTTGGGCTCGTGTTCCGCGATTTTCGCACACTGTCCGCCACGTGTTTCGTACAGACATCGAGACGCTATTCTTTTGCTCGGCTCGCAGGGCGTAGGCGTGCAACGAAATGCGGTTGATGCAATTTTCGTGTCGACCGGTCGGTCGGCGGGGTCTTTTTTTGTTTTTTGTGGTATGATTCACGAATTTTGACTCTTTAGGTTCCATCTTTTGTTTTGATGGGAGAAATCACATAGCGTAATTTACCTGAACATATGAAGGGAAAAGAAAAGGGCGATCTATGGTTTTATAGTTACTATTTGAACCACCCAATAGAATGATGAGCAGCTTGAAATTAGATAAAAATAAAATATAGGTAAAATAGTAAATATTTGAACTCAGACAAACTTCCCGCGAAAAGAGAAAGTATAAAATGTCTCCTTTCTCACTCTTATACTCACCTGTCCATGAAAAAGCTTCGAAAGTCTCTCAAAGGTATCATAGCACCACCCGGTTTGTACTTTGTAGTCAAAAGTTTTATCTTTCTCGTGTCATTGGATTTTCTTAAGCAATTAAGCTGAACCCATGCAGATTTCCTAGAAGAATATCCTCTCATCTTTTCCAAATAATCCAACTTGTAAGCCTCATGCGTGATCTGAGAGACCGACCACCTGTATATCGATTAAGTGGAGCCTCTCGAACTCTTCATTACAAATATGCAAGGCAGGGAGAAATCGGACAGGCAATGGGTCATTGATGTAGTGAATGGGAATGTCAAATTGAACCGCGAGGAGGAGGCGGAGGAATGGACACATCGTTGTATTTACAAAATCCCGTCCTACCTCCATGAGCTCCAGAAAGGGGCCTTCACTCCCAGGCTTGTTTCGCTGGGCCCATTCCACCTCGGCAGCCTTCACCTCCAACCCATGGAGCACCACAAGCGTCGTGCGCTCCTCCACTTCCATTATTGCTCGAAACACTCGGCCGATGTCTACCTCGAGGCCCTTGGAGCCATAGAGCGGAAGCTCAGGGCATGCTATGAGTGGCCTGATGAGCTGCCCGGATTGGAGAGTCCCGAGTTCCTTAACATGAAGCTGCTCGACGGTTGCTTCTTGCTTGAATTCTACAGCACAAACGAAGAGGAAAACTGCTCAGGCTACGCAGACAATGACCCAGTGTTCGGCCCCAAATTTCTTCTTGGACAAATGATTCACCACCTGGTGCTGTTGCAAAACGAAATCACGTTGCTGGTCTTGAAGCTACCCTACGTAACCATTACCCCAGATGAGGTTCGTATTACAGTGTCATAAAGAGGGCTACTTAACATTGTACTCGTTCAATAGCGCTAGGACATTAAATATCTTAAAATTATGGATTCTTGTGATAAATTTTTCAATAACGGATAAATTTTCTAACAATTTATTTTACATTTGATGTTGTACCCTGTTGAAGAAGGGATAGTTTTTCTTTTTTCTTTTTGGTTATTGAGAGGAATTACGTTGGATATTAGTCTTTCAATCCGTACAGCTGCCAGGAGCAAAGATATTAAAAGATTTCTGTTCACTCTTAATGCTAACTCAACGAGTTTTTTATGGACTGGTGATCTTCAAAACTCACAAAGACTCGAGATTTTCAGAATTTAAGGATATAATGGGGGGCGTCTTCTTTCTTTACTTTAGGAACCACGAATTGTGTCAATTGCATGATAGACCAGGTTTTAATAAGATCAGAATTTAAGGATATAAAGGAGTGCTTCTTCATTTTTCAATTTAGGAACAACGACTTGTATGTCCATTGCATGGTCCATCGATTAGATAGGCTAGGTTTTAATAAGATATATATATTCCGACCAGGTTGTCTTGATTTTAAGGAGTCAAAACATTCATAAGAAACTCGGCTCCCTAGGGGCAATTCCAAGTGAACTCACCCAACCTATGCTGAAAAATAAAAATAATTTTTTTAAAATTTGTATATTTGTTTACAATGCAAAATCAGAGAGATCTTCAGGGGAAGATCCCTCATATCTGAACACCTCAAACTGATTTTAAAAAAGTGATAGAGATAGTGGGGGCAATCGAATTTTGATCTGAGGCCGGATGTACTCAGAAATGAGCAGATCTACTCTCATATCAGTGGTCGAGCCAGCATCGATCCGAAATACGAAATACGAAATAAATGCAATAAAACTAATCTAATTTTAATTGAAATGAATAAACTAGGACAAAAAAGTAGAAAAGTAAAAGAAAAGTACCAAACTGGGCCAGACGGCTCGGGACTCCCTCGGCTTTGAGGCCACGCCCGTTTTAGAACCCGCTGGATTTATGTCGTATGTCATCTTTTATCTCTCTTCAGGTTTTGACCAAGCCTTGGCTTGGTTGAATGGCTTTCTTGATCTAAGGATGGCTCAAAATTAGGGTTTCCTAGGTATAGGTTTCTTAGGTCTAGGGTTTCAAATTCTCAACCATTGTCTAATCAGGGTTTCAAATTCTCAACCCCACAAATAGCCACGAAATCACACTTTTATAGACTAAAAACCGTCTGGGAAGGGCAGCATGCCATAATCAGCAGATCTCTTAGCCTGAACTTTTATTTTGGTGGTCCAAGGCTTAGGCAACACCAGGAGTGTCACCCAACCTAAATTGGTCCAGGTTCATTGAACTTGACCAAAAATGGCTTAGCAAGGTTTCGCATGTGGAAACTTCCATTTTGGAGCAATCAGAGTTGGGTGGCATTCGGAGCGTCGCTCAAACCAAATCTACTCAAAATTGACAGATTCCGATGCAAGGCAGATTTTGGGGCTGTCAAGATGATGCAAGCCAAAAATCGATTGATTTAGGTCAGTTTGGGTTGGGCGACAATAGGAGCGTCGCCCAGACCAAATCTGCTCAAAAACAACAAATTCCAATTCAGGATTGATCATGGAGCTGTCAGGATGCTACTTGTCCAAAATCGACTAATTTGGGTCAGTCTGGGCTGAGCGACACTCCACTAGGAGGGTCATCTAGACCAGATCTACTCAAAACGGCAGATTCCAGTTTAGGACTGATTTTGGAGCTGTTAGGATGCTGCCTGCTAAAAATGAACGAATTTGGGTTAGTTTGGGCAAGGCGGCACTAGGATGTCGCCCAGACCAAATCTGCGTAAAATTGAAAATTTTTTATGTCAGTTCTGACCTACCTTCTCTTGTGATGCAGCTGGTAAAAACTTGGGTAAAAAAAAGTTACTTTTTATATTTTTAATGATTTTTTTACTAAAACAGGTTATTCTACAGAATTTTGGATCACATGGTAAGTAGTATGAACTATGGTGGTTTAGGCGCTAGGGGTATGCTAGGATAGTGTGGCCCTAAGGGTTCAGAAATATTATAGAATGTGGCAGTTTTAAAATAGGGTGTCTACAATATTATGAAGTCCATTTCGGGTTAAAATTAGAGAAGTCATAAAAAAAATAATAATAATAAAGAGAAAAACTTGTGTCGATTCTTATTCGTTTTATCTTTTTATGGCATTTGGAACATAAAACCTATCAATTGAATATGATAGCATTCAAGCAGTTGCACGTGGACATGGATAATTCGATCAGCTCATATGTAGATTTGATGGATAACCTAATAAACACAGCGAAAGGCATCCAACTGCTAGTAGATTCAGGCATAATAGAGAACAAGATGCAAAGTGAGCAAGAGGTGGCTGAGCTCTTCAATAGGGTCACTAAGGGAATGGAATTTTTTGGTAATCGCCGCTTATAGGGGGTGCAGACCCAGCTGATCCACCACTGTAAGAGGCGTCGGAATCTTTGGATGGCTTGCTTCAAGAACACCCACCTACATGACCCGTGAACGGTTATAACGTTGCTTGCAGTGGGGCTCATGCTAATTTTAACATTGCTTCAAACTGTGTTTTTGGTGATTAGTTATTTTAAGTAGAGTCTATTGACTGCTATCGCTGCTTGTGATAAGTCTCCATAGTTGTTAGGTTTAAGTAAGGGAAAATTACAAAAAACCTCAAGATTACAAGTTCTATGCAACTTACCCCCAACCTAACTTTTTCTCTCACTTTTTCCCAAAAACAAACTTTCTATGCAAATAAACCTAAAGGAAAAGTTCATTTTTTAAGACGGAAATACCCTTCCTAAACACAAATTTCAATTTGGCCAAATTTCACGTTTATTTTCGGAGCACATTGCTAGAGCGAACCATCGCAATACCAGAGAGTTGTGACTCCAGAGTGTTCCACTGCTAGAGCGCACTTACACAATGTTGGAGCACATCATCCACAGCCGGATTGCACTAACACAGTGCCGAAGCCCTGGCACTCCAGAGTGTTTCACTACCAGACTACACATTCACCGTGATGGAGCTCTGAGATTCTAGAGTGCTCCACTGCAGGACGACACTTACACAGTGGCGGAGCACTCTGACTCCAAAGTGTTCCACTGCCGAAGCATACTTACGCAGTGTCAGAGCTCCTGATCCACTGCTGGAGCGCCTGCTCCACTACCGGAGTGCACATACACAGTGCTGGAGCCCTGGGACTTCAAAGTGCTCCACTGCCGGACCACGCTTACGCAGTGCTGGAGCGTTGTGATTCCTAAGTGCTCCACTACCGGACCGCACTTACAAAGTTTCGAAGCGCTATGACTCCAGATTTTCGACTGCCAGAACGCACCTACACAGTGCCGGAGCATTGTGACTCCAGAGTGTTCCACTGGTGGAGCGCACTTATGTAGTGTCGGACTGCTTAATTCACTGCTGGAGCGCACATACACAGTTCCGGAGCATTGTGATTCCAGAGTGTTCCACTGCCAGAGTGCACTTACACAGTGCCATAGCACTATGATTCCAGAGTGCTCCACTGTCGGACCGCACTTGCACAGTGCAAAAGCACTATGACTCTAGAGTGTTCCAGTGCCGGAGCATACTTATGCAGTGCCGGAGCACACATACATAGTGCCGGAGCGCTGTGACTCCAAAGTGTTCCACTGCCGAAGCGCACTTACACAGTGCCAGAGCACCTGATCCACTGCCAGAGCGCACATACATAGTGTCAGAGCACTGTGATTTCAGAGTGTTCTACTACCGAAGTGCACTTACACTGCTGGAGTGTTGTGATTCTAGAGTGCTGCACTGCCAAACCGCATTTATACAGTGCCAGAGCATTGTGTCTCCAGAGTGTTCCACTGCCAGAGTGCACTTACGTAGTGCTGGAGCATCTAATCCACTGCCAGAGCGCACATACACAATACTAGAGCGTTGTGACACCAGAGTGTTCCACTGCCAGAGCGCACTTAGGCAATGCAGGAGCGCCTGATCCACTGCCGGAGCGCTGTGACTCTAGAGAGTTCCACTGCTGGAGTGCGCTTACGTAGAGTGCTTGATCCACTGTCGGAGCTATCAATTTTTATTTTTATTTGCTTTTGGGTGGTGTTACATGCTAGCTAATAATAAAGAGAACTGGAGTAAACGTGTTGCTGTTAGGTAGTGGTGACACTATTTTTAAAAGTTGTTTCACAGAGAGAGATCGGACCCTAGATTCAAGGAGACAGTAGAAGAGAGAGAGGGGGTTGGACTCGAGCCAAAAAACCCTTCCAAGAGGGAAAGAGCTCAGGCCGGGAGCGAGCGCAAGAAAGAGGGACGGAGCTCAAGCCGTGAGTGCGTTTGTGGACTGTGGGTCCTCTTGCAATAAAAAATTAGGTTTTGTGAGAAAGAGGAAAGAGAGAGAGAGGCATGGGAAAATGGTAACGTATAGGAAGAGAGAAGTCGTAGGTAAAGGGTAAAGCAAGGGTAGTTTTGCCTTTTTAAAAAAAAATTGGGGTGGTTAAGGGGTTATTTACTACGAAACATTATTTTGGGAAAAAAAATGAGAGAAAAAAATTAGTTGGGGGTAAGTTGGATTATTAGTTTGGTGTTGGGAGTATTTTGTAGTTTTCCCTTAAAGTTTAGCAGTTAGTTTGACAAGAATGGAGAGAGAGGTATTACACGAGGTCTACAGAGAAGGTTTGTCATCTTTTTTTACAGTGTTTTTCATGAATAAAAAGAAGAGTTTTATGTCTGTAGATTTTGATGCGCTTTAATCTCTGGCATGTATGTGGTGGATTTGTTTGTTTATCTCTAATTTTGCACATTTGTTCTTTGTACGCATGCTGCATGTCTCAACAACGTCAATTTTGAATCTTCTTCTTCTGAAGGTGTTATTGTTCCTGTTGTATGAAAAAGTATTTCGATCATTTATACAAGTTGGAACAATGAATCTTTAGAAATCAAAACCACAAATTTTTTGATCTCAAGAAAAGAACAAGCGTAAATGAAGATCGCAAATACCTTCGAGAAGCTATGATACTACCTTAATAATTTATGAACTATTGAGCTCTCCAAATCAAAATTTAGACTCACCAAAAATCATCACATGAGGGAAAGATTGTTAATTTCGTTGTCATATGCTTTATGGCCCTCAAATCCGAAACACGTTGCAATTCTAGCGGAATATGAACCATTAAATTACTATTGTTGCTTCTTATTTTATCCCACGCCCATAAAATGAGTAAAATCTAGTACTTTTTTTGTAATTAAAACGGTATAGCCAATTCTTTTAGCAAAAAACAATTGATGCTTATGTCAGTCGAAGTTATTTCCAAAACTTCTACTAGAAGGTAAAGTTATTTAAATTAGGGAAAATTATGGATTCCTTTTTAAATGAATTTTATAGACAGTCTAAACCCTCAATACTTTTAGTATGACATCTATAATCCTATCTCAAAAAGTAAATGTTTTAAAGACAAAATTATTTCTCTCTCTCCTATTGAAATAATATCGTCCGGTATAAAAGGTATGTCAAACAGATTTCTAGCTTCTAGAATTCCAGAAGTCTCGTGGCCAGTTTAACACGCTGTTGTGCTAGATTGAAATATTTTGCTTTCGTCCAGCAAAAAAATGTGTCGGACCGAACACAAGGCTTTTAGATTCTATAAGCTAAAAATCGGTCCAGCACACTTTTAAGCTGGACCCTTTTTTTTTTTTGCTTCTGTTCGACACAAGTGTACAAGACCGGTCACAAGGTGTCGGCCACACTTTTGTGTCGAACTGCATTTTTTCAATGCAAGTGAGAGAGACTGATATTGATCGGAGAGAGAGAAAGAGACCGGCCAGTTAGGTATATGGTGAGAGAGAGAGGGACATAGCGGGTAGGGAGATATAGAAAGAGAGGGTGGGTAGAATTGTTTGAGTACTCCCTCTGTATAGAGACTTATTGAGCCGGATTTTCATAAAAAATTTAGAGACAAGAAGAAAAGTAAAATTTTAAGTTTTTAGATATCTTAAATTTGATTAATTTTTTTTATGGAACATGTATACGAGGGATTATACAATATCTTAATTTTCATGGTGTGTATTAATGTTTTGGACTTCACTTTAAAATATTATCTCGTTCCACCTCGTTTTACCATAGTTGCCTTTATGCTATGTACGGAATCTCCATCCAACCCTGTGGATATAGTAAATGATTACCACGTGGTCCCGAATCAAGTGACATAGGGGATAAGCATGTGAATTTTCAATACGACTTTTAAACTGTCAATCTTAAATTTCATTACATGTAATAAATTTTGAACCTCAATAACTTTAATATCTTTTAACTCAGACTATTCGTTTACTTTTTTACCTCTCCCTCCACACGAAAACTCCCCTGGATTTCTCTCGTACTTTCTCTCTCTATTGTTTTCCCATTTCAATTTACCCTTTGCTTTCTTTACCAATACAGCTGCATTCCCTCAACGGAGATGAAGGTAAACGTCAAACCAGCAATGAGCAAAAATTAATTTTTTTTATTTGGTTTTGATAAAAACCACAAAGAACTTTTCTCTCTCCTCGGTGGATGTTGGGTGCCCAAGACCTAATTGTGGAGGCTCTCTCTCCCTTTTGGACCCAACGATGGAGTCTTTCTCTTCCTACTTTGTTGCAACAGCAATGAATAACCAATTGTGAATGACTCTCTATCTCTCCATCTCCTTTGGGTGCCAAAGACCCAACTGTAGAGGGGTCTTCTCTCCCGTTTCAATGATTGCCATGCTAGAGAGAACCATGAAACGGGTGCGAGGCAAGAGAGAGAATGAGGATTTTTAGCGGGTGTCATCGCTACTTTAAGATCGGATCAAGAAGAAATCAGTGGCCCGAATGTACAATGTCTCCACGAGTCCATCGAAAATTATGTGATTCTTTTTTGTGGAAGAAGGTGAGAAAGAAAAAGCTCTCAATCAACAGGATGAGATGGTTCTGTTTTTAAAATTTTAGAGCGAGAGATTGAAAAGCGTGTAGCGACTTGGGTGGCCAGAGACAGAAAGGCAAGGGTGTGAAAAGTGCAAAAAGACTCCAATACACTATTTTACTGTGTATGATCATTCCCCGTTGTAAATACATATAGTATATTTAAAATACAAATGATCATTTCCCCTGGTAAATACATATAGTAGATAGGTTTCATTTTGCTTTTATTTTGTATCATGGTTATATTCTTTTATGCATGTTATGTTTTCTTATGTCTATTTAGCTATGATGAAATTTTCTTTGGATGCTCTTTTTAGGATCTTCTTATTTCTATCCAATTATGCTGGCAATTTTCTTTCCTACCACCTTTCTATTTTATAATCGACAATTTTCTCCCTTCCCTTTCTAATTGGCTAACCCGACATTCCACGCAACTTTCTATGCAATTATCCTGGGAACTGTTTTCTCTCAAAAGTACTGGACACACCACT